ATGGCTAGAACTATGATCAATGAGGCAAAAATCCCTAAGTATTTTTGGGCGGATGCCGTGAGTACCGCGAGCTACGTGTTAAACCGAGCCGTCATTAGACCGATACTCATGAAAACCCCATACGAACTATACAAAGGAAGAAAGCCAAACCTCTCCCATCTTCGAGTCTTTGGTTGCAAATGTTTTGTTCACAATAACGGAAAAGATAATTTGGGTAAATTTGATGCAAAGTCGGATGAAGGAATTTTTCTTGGTTATTCATTGCGTAGTAAGGCTTATAGAGTCTTCAACAAACGCACCTTAACCGTTGAGGATTCTCCTCATGTTGTCTTTGCCGAAAATGAGACTCGCTTGGCGAGAAAGGTTTATTGTCATGATCTTATAGATTCATTGGAAAACATCTACGACGATGACAAAGTAGACAACTCAAAGGAAGGCCAAGATGAAGAAGTAGAGCCACCCGTAAACGAGGAACAACCACAAGAGGAGGAAACGCCAATGCCAAGGGCATGGAGGACTTCAAAGAACCATCCTCTTGACAAGGTGATCGGTGACATCAACCGAAAGGTAAGTACTCGTAGCTCTCTAAGGGACACCGTAGGTCACATGGCTTTTGTTTCTCAAATTGAACCTACAACCATTTCGGAAGCAATTGATGATGAACATTGGACCTTGACAATGCAAGAGGAGCTTAACCAATTCAAATGAAATGACATTTGGGAATTGGTGCCAAGACCCGATGATCATACCATAATCGGTACGAAATGGGTGTTCCGTAACAAACTCGATGAAAATGGAATAATCACTAGAAACAAAGCTAGGCCCGTAGCTAAAGGCTACAATCAAGAAGAAGGCATTGATTTTGAAAAAACTTATGCACCGGTAGCACGTTTAGAAGCTATTCGTTTATTACTCGCTTTTGCTTCATCTATGGATTTTAAACTATACCAAATGGATGTTAAGAGTGCCTTCCTCAATGGTTTTATTCAAGAGGAAGTGTATGTTGATCAACATTCGGGCTTTGAGGATTTTGAGCACCCGGAGTATGTCTATAAACTAAAGAAAGCACTCTACGGTCTTAAACAAGCACCTCATGCTTGGTATGAACGTTTGAGCAAATTTCTTTTGGACAACGGGTTCAAAAGGGGGAAGGTTGACACTAGACTTTTTATCAAGAGTAAAAACGATAACATCCTCTTGGTGCAAGTTTACGTAGATGACATTATATTCGGTGCTACTAACGAATCTCTGTGCAAGGAATTTTCAAACTTAATGACAAATGAATTTGAGATGTCCATGATGGGGGAACTCAATTTCTTCTTGGGGTTACAAGTCAAACAAATGAGGGAAGGGATCTTCATTTGTCAATCAAAGTATTGCAAGGAGCTCCTAAAGAGATTTGAAATGGATGGCTCCAAAGCAATGGCTACCCCAATGAGCACCTCCGAGCACTTGGAAAAAGATGAAAAGGGTAAGGAAGTAGACGTAAAGAAGTATCGAGGTATGATCGGATCCCTTCTTTATCTTACCGCTAGTAGACCCGATATCATGTTTAGCGTTTGTTTATGTGCAAGGTATCAATCTTGTCCGAAAGAATCGCATTTAACGGCGGTGAAACGGATAATGAAGTATCTTGTTGGTACAATGAACGTTGGACTATGGTACCCCAAGGGGTCTCCTTGTCATCTTTTTGGCTATTCCGACTCGGACTTTGCCGGTTGTAGATTAGACCGTAAGAGTACGAGTGGGACTTGTCACTTGCTTGGTAGTTCTTTAGTCTCATGGTTTAGCAAGAAGCAAGTCAGTGTTGCGTTATCCACAACCGAA